TCATTATGTTTTGGAAAATTATGCCTGCATGATGTTCCTATAGTATTATACGAGGTCATATGGGATTGAAGAAATTTCTAATCAAAACTTATTTACCACCATAGCCTTTCAGACCAAATCTGTGATTTTCCATACTCTGTTTCAGACCTCGGCCAAAAATCGATACCACATTTCGGAACTCTATAATTAGTACACGGCCGCAGCTAACCAGAAATGGCGACCACTTGCGTACAATTCGAGAAGGGCTACAAATTTGTCAATGCTGATGCAAAAAAATTAGTTCAGTCCTCGTAAACAAAATACCCAATGCCAAGCCAGAATGAAAAACAATCTATACCATTTTTCAGGCCAAAACATCTCAAAAGCCACACCATTTGCGGCTACACATACTCATGTAGCCCCTACAAGAGAGTAACCCCCCTCCCCCTGCCCAGAGTATTTAATTTTCGGGGATTTTAAAATTGTAGTCTGCGTCAATCAATGCAAATGAGCTCTAATGAAAGGTAATCTCATTTGTTACTGATGGCCACTGCTTATTCAGATGCTGTAAGTGTTGAGTTTGATTCGCATTTGGCAGTTTGTAAAATGAATTTCCATGATGTCACCCTTAAAACGACAGCTCCCAATGCTGATGCTCTGTTGCTTCGTCTCTTCACTTGCAGGACTGGAAGTCTGTTGATAGAGAGGCATTTACTATCCGCGCAAACAACCAACGTTCTTTCAAGTTGAAGGAAGCCATCAAAGAAGGAAACTACAACATCCTGATGCAGAACCAACCGCTGTACAACAGTGAGGCTCACACTTTTGAATCCTCGCACAATTTGTTCAGGTCTGCCTTCAGTGAGGGGTTTCCATGGGAACTGCTAGAGGTCTTTTCAGGTAATGATAAATTTACATTCAGCAAGCATCCTCCCCAGGATACTTGAATAGCTAAAACTGGGAAGAGTCTGGAGAGAGAAGGAGAGGGAGATTCTCCTCCCAGTCCCTTCTCTCTTCCATAAAGTCACCTTAAACCCGTTTTCCAAGTGAAATTTGACCGAATTCGAAATAATTGTTGCAACTCCTCATCGTAATATTTAGATCTTTACCTGTGTGTTTTTTTGTTTACGTTCACCTGAACATATCCAAAGTGCTTGCAAAAGATTTTATGACATCTATCTTCACGGCAAACACTGCCTCGTCCCCAGTCGCCCGCGTGATAGTAAAAAAAACTAATAAGGACCTGAGAGGCCCAAAGAATCCTTCCCATCACTCCCCGCGCTTACGCCCCTCACTCACTACCGGCTTCCGCTCGCGCTTTCTTGCTTACTCCCGTTCTCCCAATCGCTCTTTGCGCAAAAAGAAAAATAAGAAACCCTGTGGAAGAGGCAGCAGCCAACATGTCTCCACAATTGTTAAGGGTTCTGGCTATTTTGTCCCCTAGGTCCCCCACGAGTAGCTTTCTCTTGGCGCCACTGGGCACACTGGACGGGCCCCTACAAAGGAAGGGCCCCGACGGGTGAATTACTGGAATTGCATGGAATGGCTGTGGCGGAGGTTGACGAGAATTTAAAAATCAAGTCGATCGATGTTCATTATGATCCTAATCAGCTCCTTATGAAGCTAGAAGGAAAGATGTAAATGATCAAAGTGCAGCCATTAGCAGAACTGACAACAAGTCATCATGTGCTAGCGCTGCTCTCTGTGTATTAAAATTAACTCTTAATTAAAAATAAGACTATTAGCTCGACATTTCTCTGAGGTGGTAGTTGATGAGACCGAAGACCGAATCAACTATCACCTCATAGAAATTGAGAGCGAATAATCTTATTGTTTTAGTAGAATTTTAACTGAAATTTACTTCAGATAACGGTTTACCAATTATTTCTCGATGTATTATTAGACCACCCCCGCTGCACACTAATTAATAATTAGATTATGAGCTCGAGACATGGAAATCGAGAGCAAATAATCTAATTGTTTTAGTAGAATTCTTACTAAAATTTACTTCAAATAACGTTTTCCAATATTTCTCGACGTATAATTAAGCTTTGCGCCTTAGAAAGATCGCTCGGATTGAATTGTCATTCAAAATTGAAGTTGTACGTGCGCGCGCGCGTCAGTTTTTTCAATAATTTCAACTTTTTTTAAATAATGTCAAGAAACCGTAAATGTCCTTCGTTTAGTCTCCTCAGGAATTTAATTATCCATTTGCATCAAAGGTTTACTCCAAAACTTTGGAAAAACAAAGAAAACGTCGCCATTTCATAGACGACCTCCAGCCACTGCACACTAATGGCTGCGAAATGGCTCAGCCAATCAGATTATAGCATTTGCATTAGTATACCAGTAGAATTCTGATAGCCATAAGGGGCTAACTCGAAAACCTTACGGTTCCTTTAGCCTGTACCCTTCTTTTAATCGTTACTTTCCTTTTTATTTTATGTTATCACCTTTTAATGTGTTTAATACTTCTCAGGTATTTAAAATTAGTGTGCGTCGATAAAGATTATTGTTGTTATTGTTACTGCTATTGATTTGTACATCCACATTTATTGAGTCAGCAGAAACTACACATTTATCACGCTAACTTTAACANGTGCGTCGATAAAGATTATTGTTGTTATTGTTACTGCTATTGATTTGTACATCCACATTTATTGAGTCAGCAGAAACTACACATTTATCACGCTAACTTTAACATAAGAATTATAAAGTACTAGCAATTAAAATATCGAATGTAATAAAATATATATATATATTTGTATATCTTTAAAGATCTCATTAAAAGCGAATGATATTGAATGTAGAACTTACTCTTCTTTCCTGTACAGTTTTGCGGCCGCAATATTGATGCTAATTAACCCCGATACCCTTTGAGAAAACAACCCTTATTTGCGCATACCAATACTTCATGGCTTCCCGCGTTTCCCGAAACTTACTGGACCTTACTGCGCAGTGCACGGCCAACTAAAAAATCGATTGAGAGGAAAAATTATTTGTTCGGTACAGCAACCTGTGCGCGGCTCTTGAAGCATCCCATTCGCGCCATATATAGAGACAGAACGAGCAAGGTTCCCTCGATGATTTTGTCACAGTTTGGTTAAAACAGGTCTAAAATTTTGTGTAACTGACCTTCACTCGTACAACAGATGCTCGTAAAACACACTCTTAATAACACAGTGCACTTAGATGATAATTTTTGACCGACAAATTAAACTGCAGACCATTATACGTATACTCGGGGGTATACTAAGATTTACATTGATATCTGAAAATCTGAATGTGTCTGTTATTGCAGCCAATCAGGTCGCAAGCTGGACGAAACTCAACCATCTGTTGCTAATATGATAACCACATCCCTAATTCCCAAATGCCTTCTACAAACTTTGTAAACGGCACGGAAAAGTTCTGAGATATTTGGTAGAGTTCACTGCGAGGCACTGATAGGTCCATCATCGTTTTCTTCAGCAATGGCGGATAGCACAAGCGGATGTCCTTACAGGCAGTACATGGACGAGCCGGGAATTCAGTGGCGTGAAGGAAAACCTGACTATACAAAGGTTAATAAAGCCTACTTAGAGGGAAGAACACGAACGCACAAGGAAGGCTCGCTAGAGAAGATTGTGGAAGATTTGGTCAAGACCTGGGAAATGGAGGCTTCGCATAAAACGCGAATCGAGGTATTTTAATTTTCTCTTGCCAGGTTTATTGCCAGTCGGTTTATAATGTTAATAATGCAAATAAGTTACCAGCTAGTTTAACTTCTTAATTGACTATTAAGCCTAGTTCACAGTAAAGACATAACGACATAAAGATTACGACAGAGCAACGACGCTATGTCCTTTATGTTTGCAGTGCAAACATAACAGCAATATAACAGCATGAACACGACGACATAACTGATAAGGAAAAAACAGATCTTTTCGAACTTTCCTTTCGTCTTTACGTCGATATTCACATTACCGGCATAAGCACTGAATTTACTGTCATTACGTCGTTATATCGCTAGTGTGAACCAGGCGCCGTACCGACTTTGGTATATCGACTTATGAATGTTTTTATAACGGTAATAAAGCTCATTCTTCTATTTGAATCCCCTCGCTTTCCGAGAAGATTAACCTTCAGTTCATCCGCTATATCCTGGGCATCCAAAAAACTTTTTTTTTTTTTCAAAATAACTTACGCGCAACTGTCGGCAAATAAATCTTTACAACTGAAGTGTGCCGTGCAGTGATTGCATGCTTCTGTTCAACTGATCAATATTCAACAGACACACGAATTGTCGGTTTCGTGATGTTATGTGGCTAAAGAAGAGGAACGGAGGCGAGACCACAGGAAACCAAACCAAGGCATAACTTGCAACACTGATTCAAATTGACGTAAGAGATTTGTCCGTACTCATAAACACGGAAAGAGAATTTAAATCCACCCTTGAATAGGCCACTTCCGCGTTGCCTTTTGGCTCTGTCTTCATGCGAAACCATATTCGATCCGGCATAGAAATGTGTTCAGCCTACATGTTCATTTTCATGCAACTCAAACTCATCAGCTTCATAAGAAATATTTTGCTCGAAGATTCGTTTTGAAACAGAGGCAAAGCGTAACTCGGAAGTTGCCTATTGAGTGAAACGTTGGAAATATAGTAGATCATAGTAAACTATATCTGGTTAAATTATTCTTAGGTGGTGTAACTTGTAAATAGACAAATTTCTAAATTATTCCTAGCTATTGTAATTTCTTTTTTAGGTAGGTGTCCTCTATTAGTAGAGGGTTATCCCTCGGCTGAAACAATTCGGCACGTTAATAAAGTTTTATTATTATTGTTGTTATTATTATTACTATGACTATTACTCTTACCATTACCATTACCATTACCATTACCATTACCATTACCATTACCATTACCATTACCATTACCATTACCATTAC